AGAGAGCTGTTGCCCTTCTGCCGTGCTAGAACGCACCAAAAGACGGCTGTGAGTGCAGCAGGGAGAAGACCACCCAAAGCCAGCCATGCTGGCACCTGACCGCACGCTTCCAGCCGGCAGAACTGTGGGAAATCAGTGTCGTTCATTATAAGCCCCCAGACATAAGTATTTTTTCTTTGATTTTTCTCCAGCCTGTGGTATTCTGTTACAGCAGCACCAATGGACTAAGACACCAGAATCTGCTCTGTTTGAAGAGATTTGACATATTTGCTGTGATTGGGAAATCTGAGTAAGAATCAGGAGCAGACAGCACATGACCGAGCCTCTTTACAATATAAGTTTGATGGTACATAATTTACCCAAAAGCCTTTTATTTGAAGAAACAACACAAAGAAGGGTGGCAGAGAATATCCTTGGCCCGGGAGTCCACTCCCTGGCACGAGGGAGCCGTGAGCAAGGTCTTCTAGATGCCCTCATCAGAGACACCATCCTGTAGTGTGTCTTCACAAGGGCGGTGTGCCTTTCCTTCGTGCGTGTTTTTTTTTCACTGATCGGTACACACGAGGTGTTTTTTATTTGATTTTTCTCCAGATGATGAGCTGCGTGACGGTTCCAGTATAGACAGGGAACATCAGGCGAGTCCCAGTCAAATGAGCCCAGCCCTGGCATCTCCCTCTGTGAAATGTGACGTCTGGTAGGTCATAAAGAATAGCGTCCAGTTCCCTTTGAGGAGCACACATTGCAGGCTTAGTCGTCTGCTGGAGCCTGTCACCTCCACATAACAGTGATTGGAGAGGCAGCGCTGGCCCATGAGGTCATTTAGCCTACGTCCTGTCCAGACACAGGCCAGCAAACCTCTGCGGAAGGAGATGTACGGAAAGGACTTTACATTTGGAACTGGTTCCCCTCTACACGCTGTTTCTTCAGAGCATTTATTCAACCTGCTGATCTCTGAGCTAGATTCTCTAGAGCGGCGGGCGATCAGAAGGTTGTACGTAGGTATGGGCAACATTCGTAATTTTCCCCCTCAGTGCGGACAAACGCTAAGACTAAATCCTGGAGGATGTCAGAGTTTAAACATAAATACATTTTGTGTTCATGTGTAACTTATTTCCTGGATTATATAATGTGATGGAGGATTCCCAGTTCATGAGTGTTAAGTCTTTCCATATGTGTGGGCACTAGGTAAGTTCTGTATTCTAAGTCATCTTGCTGTGAATCTTCCCATAAAATAAAAAGTGATTCTTTTAAGTAAGTTACCAGTCTCTTTTTCAGTGAATTTGGTTTGTTCCCGGGTTTAATTTTCTTAAGGAAGAGCCACATAAAAAATTAAGTTGATTTTTAAAAGCTCAAAATTGCTTTTCCCTTTGGAAGAATTACGGCTGCATAACTCAAGGGAATAAATGCGTCTACCTTTGTAACGAGAGAATGACTTTTAGGATGCTTAACTCAATGGTATTTGATCGGTCATCCCAGTGATGGAGCCTGCAGGACTCCTAACCTAAGAGGCATTGTGTCTCAAACCCACAGGTGCACATGGACTTGCTTATATTGTAACTGGAACATATCTATGAAAATATAAAATAAATACATAGTTCTTGACAAAGATCTCCAATGGTCAAGGACTTTTCAACACCAAGTGTTAACGTTCGTGTTGGCATTAGGTTTGTGGAAGTGTTGAGATAATGTGCCGTGAAACAGTATGTGATACACAGCCGGTGTCCACTGGTTACCAACATGCGTGTGCAGAACTCATGTACCTGGTTTTTTAAATCAAAAGAGGAGGAGAGGACTGTGAATTGGCCAATGGGAACAAACTCTACTTAGAGCAAAATCTCTCTGGGTCAGCCGACGATTCAGTCTACCACCTGACTCAGTAGATGACACATTTGATGGTTGTCAGATCTGGGATATGTTGTTCGCTGATCTTTTTTTCCTTAATTCTGCAGTTTTGAACTCTCTGTGGGACTCTGCCGTAAGTTGTTCTGCATTCCGTAGGTCTCTGTTCTTGTTTGGGATTTTAGTTCTGTGGGGGAAAGTGTTCCCAAGTCTCCTTGGAGAATGATAATGAAACACAAAAGTTTATTTGCTCGGTGTCACAGCAGATGTGGAAAAGTTGGAGCGCACAGAAGGCAAAGTGCATTGAAATGCTCACGGCTTGGAGAAATCGGGTTAGTGGAGACCCCAGGGAGAAGAGATGTGCCCAAGGGTCTCCTGGGATAAAAATGCAGCGAGGGGGCCGTGCGGTTGTGAAATAAGTGAGCCACCTTGCAAAAAGCTTCACTTCTCTGTCACATTGCCCTCACCCTGCTGCATCTTAGGGACCAATTCCTAAGGCCCGAAGACATCTTGACTGTATCCTGTTGCTTTCCAGACATTTCCAATTATGAGAAAAGTCTCGCTTTTATCATCAAGTCCCATTTCCTGGTATAAAAAAAGTCCCACCCAGTGTCAAGTTTGGGTCTAAAACTCAGCTTTCTCTCTTCCCCCAACCTGTAGCTCAGGGAGTGCTGGAGAGAAGGATTCGGGGTCTGGCACTTCTCTCTGCCTCCTACTTTCCCCACTTTGCCCCTTAAAGATTTGGAGCAAGCAGAAAGGAATTTTAAAAAAGGGGGGAGACATTGATTGACTGAACTATTGCTCTTTGAAGGTTCTCTGTGCTCCCGTTGGCTGTGGTCTGTGCTGACTTTGTGGCAGGTGTCTGCGTGTGGAATGCTGGTCTCGTGAGTTGCCAGAGTGAGTTCTTGCAGAGGTTCCCCCGGGGTCCGCAGCGCTGCACAGCTGCCCAGTGAGGGCACAGCGTTCTCCAGCTCGTCCCCCGTGTGCCTGCTCCCACTGCTGGAGCTCTGGGAGGTTCTACCGCTGCACCACGTTAACTCCAGTCTTGGAGCTCTGGCTTCAAACATGTTTCCCCCAGGCCAGCGCCTCCTGGGGCCTGAGCTCCTTGCGCCCACGCTCTGCTCTCTTTCCAGCTGGCTGCCTCTGGCAGTACCAGCCTGCCTCTGCCTGGACCAGAAACACAGCTTTCCTGAACACAGCCCATCCTCACAGGGCCGCCGTTTATCTGTCATGTGCAAAGCAACCTTTCACCTTCTACCCAGTGAGTGTTCATATGTACTGAACTGTTTTTTCCAGAAGGCCTCTGTGTTCCAGGCTTCTGAGAGACCTGGGAACCGTTAAGACTCCAATCCCAGGGGGAAGGGTACCTGAGCGTGAAATTTTAGGCAACCGTTACGGAGATATATGGGGAGAGCGTTCCTCGGAGGCCCTCACATCCCAGCAGAGAATGGAAGCTGACTCTTTCTTTGTGGTCACCTGGTCCCAGAGGCACCATTTGAGTCTTTTTCTTCTCTGTAGCCTTAGGCATTTTGTTTAGTTTTGTTTTATTTCAGTATCTGACTCTTATTACTGAGTTTGTTGATAATCCAGCAGGGTGCAGTTTTCTTCTGTGCACAGTAGGATTACTTGTTTATTATGATAGCAAGAAGCTTTTTTTTTTTTTTTTGGTAGCCTGAAAGACTCCAGGGAAAATAATGGGTTGACTTGGTTACATGGCTGAGGTCTCTCTGCTGCAAAATAAGGGAAAGATGAGGTCAAGAATGCAGCTAAAGACACTATAACTTCAGGCAGAGCTCACACCCTAAATGTGGTTCCTAAAACCAAACTGTTCCTTTAGAGCGGTAAGAAATGGTTCTCTCAGACAGGAGTTCTTCTCTTCCATATGTACAGGAGGCTATCCGAGACCCAGTAAGCGTACGTTTCTTTTATTCTGGTTTGCAAAATGGAACATGTGTGTGTCACTGCTACAGTGTCCTTATCACTATCTGAGTAGTCATCATCCACTGCGTCATCCATTCTGTTGTCAAGGTGTGGAAATCACTCTCTCTCTCGTTTGTGTCGTGATCTTGTGGTTGCAACACTATGTGTGCACCACATGAGAAGTCGCATTAACCTATTCCAGTGAAAATCTAGCCCAAAACGTTTTTCTGGGGAATCACTTGGTGGATCGGCAGGGTGCTTTTTCAGAGGGTGGGCGTGTGGGTCTTGCCTAATGGAGACCCATTGTCAGAGGGAGCCGTGACTCACCTTGCAGACAGGCTGGTGGCGGAGCAGGAAGCAGTGGGCCGGGACGCGAACGGGGTCCTCCTCCTTTTCTGTTAATACTTCAACTTAAACGCCATGCGTTTTGTATTTACGGAAGTAAAGTAGAATATAAGTTACATTTCAGGCCCCCGAAAAGTCTGGTTTTAAGGAGATGTGAACTAATTGTTACAGATGGGCAAAAGGAAAACCGACTTTTTCTTAGAGAAAAAAAGCATTTTACTTCCAAGTAAAAAGTGATTCTCCTTTTTCTGATGAGAAAGGGAAAGAAAGGGGCAGGCAGAACAGCCCGAGTGCTGTCACCCGCCTCTCCCTTGGAGAGCATCCCCCAGGGTGTGAGTGAGGTCGCCACACAGCAACAAGCAATGTGCCGGACCCTGAACGTGGCCTCTTCTGAGTTCCCATAAATCACGGCAGATTTGTCTAAGACTGTGGCATGGGAGACGCCCTGCTCAAACAGCCCGAACTGGGAGTGTTTTTATAGAATTCAATCGCGGCAGCTTGAACAGATTCTTTAAAGGTAAAGTTGAATTAGACAGAAGCTGCTTTAAATCTCTCTAATTACCAACACGCCATGCTTGATTGTGGATGAGATAAATCGGTTATCTAAGTTTCATTGAAGTTTCTCTTTGTTTTTTTAAATGAATGGTTGGGTGGGGGATGCTTACTGTTATTTTATTTTTTTATTCTTCAGTATTTATGGGGAAGGGTGTTGCCTCCAAATTGCAAATGGTCCCCATCAGATTCTGTGCTAATTTGAGGAGTCTTCTTTCAAGGGACTCCATAAAGAGGTAAATTTCCATTTGAAGGAAAAAGCTTCTCCCCAAATCTTGGTCAATGTCCTAAAATGAATAAAGGTAAACTGCTACTCAAGTCTTTTTCATTTTCCTCTTTTCCAGGTGTTCTGGCACCCAGAGGGTGCTCCTTCCCCATTCTTCCAAAGTCTGACATTCCAGGCCTCTCCTGTCTGTACCCAACAATGACATTTGGTGTCATCATCCAGTTGAAGAGCCTGGCATGCAAACAACCTGGCCGATTCATTCCTAGAGCCCACGTTACCCACGCAAGACCACGGCCAAGACTGATGTCTCCATCCCGGGCATGCTCATTCAAACGCGCTCTGGTGAGTTCAGACCCTGAGATGGTTAAAATGAGGAGTACACATCATTCACATGCTCCCGATCGGTGCGTGTGCTTTGGCCCACAGAGGTGCCTCTTTGTTGTAACTCAGTCATCCAAATGGATGTTTAATGGAATGACATTCATTCCATCCAAGTGGAGTTCTTCCCAAGGGCCAGAGACGGCGTCCCCTGCCCAGGGGGTCCTCCTGGAGCAAAGCCACAACCACGCTTGACAGAATCCCTCATATTGTCTCCCAGACTCCCTGGCCAGCGTCCCTTTGGAAAAACTCTAGAACTCTGCTCTCAGCGGCCAGATATTTTTAATAGACTCTATGTCCTCAGTGCTGGCATTTTTGATAAAGACTTTGAATAGAGATGCTAGAGAAGTGTCCCTTTCGTTGGCTGGGAAGATGTTGGTTATGCCAATGAGTATTACTCAGGGTGTACAGGTGGGACCTGAAGCCTCGGCAGATACGAAGGTCGGGAGACCACATGTGAGTGAGTGAGGGACGAACACAGGTCTTTCCACGGGGCTAGAGGTGGTTTCATGAGATGGGCAGAGAGCGGGCCATCCGGGGCCCTCTTCTGGGGGTTCTGCTGGGACCCAGGGGTCAAGAGAAATGAAAAAGAGCACGAGTGGGTGAGAACAGCTGAATGATTTCATGCAGGACTATTCTTAAAAGAACTGGTCCCTCACCCCAGCTTCTGTCACCCTCTATAGCAAAAAGCAGAAGTCGGATCCGACACCTGGCACACACTGAGTGCATCTTCCCCTTTCCGATTCATTTTATGGTGACTTGCTAGCTTTTATTTTGCCATTTCCTTTCTTCCAAGAACCATGTCACCTTTATTCTACTTAAATTGAACTTGATTATTCAGCGTCAAAGATAAAAGTCATAGGACACTTTGGCCATGATATTATTCTCAGGATCTGTCCTTCACCTAAAAATATAAGTAGTAGGTTATCCAACTTGATGTCCCATTATATCTTTACCCACTTTGGAGATCCAATTAGAAATAATGTTTTTTTCTCCAAAAATTGTCATAAAATGTAATGTATACCTATCCTGATGGCACAGTATATTAAAATACTAATTGGGAAATTCTCACCTGCACCTTCATTTAGTGAGTATTATATGGAAAATAAGTAGTTGATCGATATGGAAGCACACTGATAATGTCATCTTTTGCCGTGTTTATTTTTCTCTGAAATAACATCCATGATTAGCAGCGCAGAAGCACAGTGATTGCTTTTTCTTGAATTTGCTACATAAAGGATGGGAAAATAATTGCTATTTGGTGAGCAACTTAATGCTATGTGCTGGATCTGATTCTGCCTATTTGAGTGCAATCCACAGTACCAAAAAGTCAAGATGGAATTATTAGTGATCATTGGGATCTTCCACTGGTTCCACAAGCCATGTGCTCTTCCTGCCATGCAGGGGTCACTATACTTTTCCTATAGAGGGTCAGATAGTAAATATCTTAGGTTTTTGTGAGCCATGCAGTCTCTGTGTCGACTCCTTAACCCTATTGTCATAGCGGGTAAGCGTGCAGAGATATGTAAACAAATAGGTGCACCTATGTTCCACTAAAACTGTATTTACGAAACTAGATGGGGGTCCATAGCATAGGTATCTGTCCCCTGCATGATACCATTATTTCCTTTAAAAGAATACACTTGTCTTTTTCCCGCAATCTGTCCACATTTTGCACTTTGCAGCACGCTGCCCTGCGCAGAACGGCTTTCTCCCCCACTTGCTGTTCCTGATACATTCTGAAATATACAACCACCTCCCTGAGTTTCTGCCATCACCAAACTTTGTGACAAGGTTAGCCAGACATTTATTGCCCTGTTAAAGAAACCGAACTGGGGTCTCATCTGGGGAAGGAGGCCTTCAGGCGTGATTACTGGAGGGAGTAGAGAACAG